CCCACGCTCAAGCAGTGCATGGCGCCATGGCCCCATCGGTGGCACAGACCCGGGGTGCCAAACCCCTGCAGCAGAGGCACTGCCCGCATTAACCCTGACCCCGTCCCCAACCTTGGGCACAGTCCCAGTCCTGGCACGGGTGGGCACATGGCGGGGTTCATCACCCGCTTGGACACTCAAATTCGGGGGCAATGCGGCCTCGTGCCCCTCCTGTAGCTCTGCAACGTGCGGCGCTGGGGACCCGCTGGGACAAAGCAGGGACAGGGGTGCGTGTCCCGCCTCAGCTGTGTCCCCCACTGTGCCACCGCCCCAGGGCCGGCGGGGAACTCCTGTTTGTCCAGTGCATTTTTATCCGGTGGAAACTGGCAGCACCGGCAGCTAAATATGCCCGACCAGGCGATAAGGACCCAGCGCGAGGGCGCGGGTTTGGCCTCCTGGCTCTGCTCCTGGGGGTGGCCGAGGGACCCACCTGCGGGCACGCATCGGGTGTGGTTTTACTCTCCCAGCCCTAACTCTGCACATCAGTCAGACAAGGGCCGGAGCAGGGACCTCCGTGCTTGTGGAGCATCACTGGAGCAGGAGAGAGGTGGGAATGCCGGCCCCGGAGCAGGGGGTCAGTGCGAGCGTGCCAAGCGGCACCTCCAAAATGCACCCCAGCCCGCCACGTCCCGCCGCGCTCCGATGCCGCAGTGGCACACAGTGTCTCCTGCTCACCCCAATATCCCCCGGGCATGGAATCTGGAGCAGGAGAGAGGTGGGAATGCCGGCCCCGGAGCAGGGGGTCAGTGCGAGCGTGCCAAGCGGCACCTCCAAAATGCACCCCAGCCCGCCACGTCCCGCCGCGCTCCGATGCCGCAGTGGCACACAGTGTCTCCTGCTCACCCCAATATTCCCCGCCGGCATGGAATGGGGCCCTGCTATTAGAAACAGCCACACGGACCTTCCCGGGTTTGTTGGGACCAGGAAAAACCCGTCGGAGAAGAGGTAGCGGCATGGTCCCCTCACGCCCGGCGCTGCCCGTCTGTTTGATGTGGGGCCTGGTCTCGTCGGCCTCGCCACGCCGGCTCCACGCTGTCATCCGGGAGTAAATAAAGACCAGCACAATTGCCTGCTTGTTTATTAATTTTTGCTTCATCAAAGGCTGCTTTAATCATCTTTCTCCCTCTTGCCATTGCCACTTGCAGAACGCACAGTGCTGGTGTGCCACGGATTAGGATGGGACAGCGGAGCTGCAGGGCTGACCCCACTCCCACACCGGTGGCACCGCTGCACCCTCACCCGGCCCCGCACCGGCTGCCCGGGCGGCCCCAAGCCCACGCGGTGCTCATGGGAGGGACGTGCAGGATGAGGGGTGGCCACCAGCCTCCCACGCATCGCTGGTTTGGGTGGATTTTCTCGCCTTTCCCTTGACCCTAAAGTTGTAAAAGCAGCATGGCCCTTCCCCAGGGAGGGAGGATTTTCCCCTCCGGGATTTACAGACCCTGACGCCCTCGCCGTGGGTCCAGGGTTCACCTGACACATGACTGCAGAACGCCTGCTCTTCAGGGAAGGGCAGACAGTTTTCCTGACCAGCTCTTATCCTGCCCTGATCCCTCTTTCCTCTCTCTCTCTCTCCATCCCTGATGTTGTTGGATTATTGCCCACCACATCCCTTGCTGAGGACCTGGCGTCCCCTGCATCCCACAGGTCCCAAAGATGCCCGGCGTTTTTTTTCCATCAAAAAGCCCCTCTGCAGCTCCCTGAGCACCACTACCTGTGGTCCCCAGCTCTTCGCCTCCTCCTCGGGGCTCCCCACGAGCTGGCAGAGGCACAGCACCCGCAGCCGACACAAGGTCCACGCGCACAGCATCCTCCCGTGCTCCCGGGACGAGCAGGGTGACACACCTCCAAAAGGGCTTTGGGTGGTGAGCTGGGGGAGAGGGGGTGACTGGTGCGTGTCCCTCCATCGATGTGCAGGGAGACGGAGCAGGACCCCACAGGCTGGGCGGGGACCCTCCAGGAGTGAAGGGGCTGCTCTTTCCCCAGCACCACGGGGCACTGTCCCCCCAAAAAGGGCACAGTAATGGCACAGATCATGGAGCCAGGACCGGCGTCTCCCATGCCATGGGCTGTGCCTGCCCCGAGACGTGGCCGAGCTGCACCGTGGCTCGGGGCCATGACCTGGCGCCACGCACGGCCCCGCCGGAGCCGGCAGCACCTCGCTGGAAGCGGCTGGTGCCGGGGCTGGCTCCAGCTTCTCCAAAAATCCAGCTGAACGGGACGGGCCTCTCCGCAAACCTGTTGGGCCACATTCAGCCGCGCCAGAGCTGGCGTCCGCGCGCCACTGGCCGCCCGTGTGCCGCGTTCGACGTGTGCAGCTGGCGGGGCCACCAAAAACTCACTGCCGATGACTATCCCTGCATGCCCTAGGCCCCGGCACAGCCATGGCACGGAGGTCCCCCATGTGTGCCGCGGAGGCGGGTCTCCCACCCCACTGTCCCCCCATCGCCCCCACCACGGGGATGCCCGGTTGGGTCAGCCGTGCGTAACAGGTCTCTTCAGCCCAGAGCCAGTCCAGAGCAGTTTCCTCAAACGAGGGCAATTAAAGTAATGGGAAAATGGAAAGTATTCGTCAGGGAGCTGCAGCGGCAGAGGGGGAAGGCGCTGCGGTGAGTCAGCGATCCAAACCGAAGCCCCGGCATCAGGTAAACAAGCTGCGAACCAGGAGGTGTTAGTCACCGGCTCTGGCTGCGCTGGCCCCAGCCTGGGAAGGGCATCGGCAAAACCCTCCTGCTCCAGGAAAGGGTTCGGCAGCACCAAACCCCACCAGCGAGAGAAGAGCAGCACCCGCTCCCCGTTGTGGCGTGGAGGTCCCGCCAGGACCATCCACCGCCTCCGCCTGCGAGGATGTCACCGGGATGGGGACGTGGTACACGTGGCCGTACCTTGTTTTGCAGGAGAAGCTGCGATGCGGCACTTTTTCCTGCAGGGCCGGGCGCTGCTGGGACAGGAGCAGGACGGCCGGGTGCTCCTCCCGGGTGGCCATCGCTCCCTGCGGGACCTTGGGCAAGTCATTTGATCTCTCTGCGCCGCCGCCTCGCCGTCATTACGGTGGAGCCAGACAGATGGATGCCCAGGGGAGAGGGCAGGATTCATGGTTTAAAGATGGCAAGCCCTGGGATCCCCACTGGATCCAGGCTGGGACAGAGCGGCGCCTGCAAGGGTTCCCCTCCTCCTGCCCTGCACCGAGTGGAGTCCCAGCCATGGGGGGCTGGATGTGGCCCCTCGAGCCAGCCAGGCTGGCTGTGGGGGGGTCCAGAGCCCCCAGCCCAGCCCTGCCTGGGGAATATCTGGCAGGGGAGCCACTGGTCGGGGGAGGCTTGGATGCCCCTCAAGCCACCCTGTGTCTAATAGGGGTGAAACCCACAGGTTAGAAATCTGTATGGGAATGAAAAACACCCTCACTGAGGGAGGGAAAGTCCCCCGGGCTGCCCCAGGTACTGTCTCTGTGCCCTGCCCTACCTGTGCCCAATTTTCCCATTGGGAAAAATAAAACAACCCAAATTATCCACTGGAGGAAATCAGTGCTCGACCGCGGCTGATGCAGCCCAGAGAGGAGGATGCCGCTTCCACGGGGCTGGAAAAGACCATGGGGATGGTCCAGCCCAGCTCTGCTTTGCTGGATGCACGCGTGCGCACGCGCGCGCACACACACACACACACACAGAGGCTTGAGCTTGTCCCAGAAGCCGCATTAAATCATGTCCCACCAAGCAGAGATTTCCTCCTGTCCGGAGATACCAAATGCCTGCGAGTTCACACCCTTCTCCTAAAATTGGGCCAATGGTTAATTACGCTCCCAGTCGGGTTATCGGTGACCGGGTCCCCTGGCTGCTTCCTGCCACTGGACCTCGCTGTGCTTTAGCAGGGAAAATCCGGCTCTTTTGTTCCCACACGCTCCCCCCCACCTTTTGGCTGGGCCCTGCCTGTTCGGCCGGGCAGAGCAGATCCCCCTGCGAGGGGAACGGCTGCCTGTCCTGCCAACTCCCCTCTCGCCGCGAGCCTCAGCGTCCCTGCTAAAAATATTGTCCCATGCAAAATCGGGTCCCTCCAGCTTCCTCCGTTGCTAGCCCCCTTGGCCACCGCCCCTGAGCTGCCAGCTGCAGCCGTCGGATGTCTGCTCTGCTGACTCCATATAATGCAAGTTTTACAAATGAAAATGTCACATGGCCGTAAATTAAGTACTTTGGAGAAACCCATTATAATGCAGCAACACAATTAGCTTTATCAGCCAGCCCAGAGTCATGCCAAAAACCAAAGCCGACTCACTTGACAGGAGCTGCCATCCATGAAACCAAGCTAACGACCTCAATTATATTTTTAGCTTCTAATTTTTGGCTGACAGTATCCCCAATTACCCAGCCCATAATTTGCCCAGGGACTGCGATCAGCCTACCTGGTCTGTAATTCCCAGGGTCAGCCCTTTCATCCCTTTTAAATATTAGACTCCCACTGGCCGCCCTCCAGCCCTCTGGAATTTCCCCAGGGTTTTTAGTGTTAAAAATTAACAGCAGAGCTCCTCGGCAGCCTGCAAGCCCCTTCCTGCGAGGGTCCTGCCAGAAACGCCTCTCGTCCTGAGAAAATCCAGCGATGTCGGAGGTGGGGACGGGGAGTTGTTCCCGCCAGGTTAAAAACGATGCGTTATCCGATTAGCTTCTCTAGCCAAAGACTGTTCTTTGACTCATTTCCCTTATCTGCCACCCACGCTTTACACCTCAGCACACAGCCCCGGCGCTGAAGCCTCCTTTCCCTGCCCCTTCGCTATGCATTTATAGGGTTTTATCCTCGCTTCTGTGCCAGCCCTCAGCCAAGCCGGATCTTTTCCCGTCTGGCTGTCCTTGCTCTCCAGCTGGCTACCGGGTTTCGGGAGCCGGCCTTGGACGCAGCCTGGTTTTCAGTAACGCTTCCCTCTCCTGATCTGTGCCGGGTTTTGGCAAGGTGGTTTTTGCAGCATTGCCCCCGATGAGGCACATGGGCACTT